ATTAAACTCGGTCACCTTCGGTTGTTATAATATCATCATAATTTTCGATGATGAGTACAGATCGTTCAACAACGTTTCGGTGTTTCTTTATTTTTCTTTTCTTTTTCTTTTTTTTCTTAACCGTATCGATAATTTCGCCGAATCGATGTCAACCGACTGTAATATTCACACATGGTTCGGTTTTATATGATCGACGGCAGTATCGTATAATTGTCGTGTGAATGTTTAAATATAAAATATAATGTACTTATATGTATTAACGCAGAAGACAATAAATTAAATCGATTTGAAAAAAAATCGATTCGATGGAATGTGAACGAGCTGTTACTCTTTCCTTTTTATCAACCTTTTCTTTCATCATCATTATTATTATTATTATTATTATTATTATTATTATTATTATTATTATTATTATTATTATTATTGTTATTATTATCAATATCATTATTATTTTTGTTGTTGTTGTTGTTGTTGTTGTATTTGTTTGTCGATACACGATAGAGATAAATAATATGATAAATAAACAATATTTGCTAGATGTGACTCGCGCCGTATTTCGCTAGTTTTATTTATTTACTTTTATTTTTACTTTCTTTCTTTTCTTCATTAATAATCAGGTGCGAAATAAAAGTGTGATTACAATTTGTCGTATTGCGTTTTTTTTTTTTTTATTACCGCCATTGAAATACGCGATCCTCAATGATAATATCGGTTCATTCGGAATCTTATGTCGCATGAATAATGATCATTATCTTATTTTTTCTTTCTTTCTATTATTATTTTGTTTTCTTTTCTTTTTCATTTGTTATGAATTATCATTAAAAACAACTACCCTCCGTTTCTCGTATCAGAGAAGAATGCAGATCGGCAGAGAATCGTCGCAGTTCGATTCTCCACGGATTCGTTCGAGGGGCTCATGGCATTGGGCAAAGATCGATTTGATCGAAAAAAAAAGAAAAAAAAAGAAAAAAAAACCAGATCGAAAAAAAATCGAACGTGGTCCAACGAACTTTTTTTTTTCTCTTTGTTCTTTTTCTTTTTTTTTTTTCTCTTGTCCATCCAATACCATGCTTATAGCCCTTTTTCTTCCCTCATCGATGGCACTACTTCGTTTACATTTACTCATCCTTCGATTTTTAAGCACGACCGCAATATTTTTTTTATATTGACCCTTTGAATGTGTGCTCGATGATAAATTAAATTAAAAAAAAATTAAAAAAAAAAAGAAAAAAAAAAAAAAAAATTAAAAAAGAAAAAAAAACAATTTAATGAACGATTATCTTTCAAACTAATAAAGACACTGTTCAGTCCTTTTTTTCTGATCTTTTACATTTTATATCAAAATCTAAATGTATATTACTATTTATGTAGATACGTATAACCCGTTTGTGTTTGTGTATATCCATTTTATCGTCTACACGATTGAATGGATTGACTTAAAATTTATTATATCATAGATGATATAAAGATGTTCTATACAACGATTTTTAGTCTGATACGAAGACCTTTGAGTTTAAAATAATTATAGCGTAGAAAAAAAAAAAAAAAAAAAAAAAAAAAAAACAGAGAAAGAAAAAAACATTAAAACTTGCAACAGACAATCTAATTAAACCGAAGGGATATTATTTAAAATATTGTTAGCCGATTAATATCTCGGACGTGCTTATTTCGTTATCCCCAGAGAAATGCCGTATTCTTTTTTAATATTTTTCTTCTTTCCCCCCCCCCTCCTTTTATTTGTATATTTCTTTTTTTTCTACTTTTTTTTTCCTTTTTTTTTTCTTTCTTTCTTTTTTACTTTCAATTCACACGAAAACACATCAAATTCGAGCAACTCTCAAAAAAAAAATACACACAAACGTATCTCGGAATCGACGAAAATGAAATTATAGTTATACTAATTCTTTTACGAATGAAATTAGACGACTAATCGATAGCACGATTTTCAATTGGCGATCGAAAATCAAACAAAAGCAGGAGAGAGAGAGAGAGAGAAAAGAGAAACGAAACGAAACGGAACAAAAGATAATCCTAAAAGATCTTAGAAAGATCTTTGATAGATCTTAGAAAAATCTTTGAAAGATCTTTGAAAGATACTCGGGTTCGTTCGGAAAAAGCGCGACGCCGACGATTAATCTATCACATTAATTAACTTTCCTATGTAATATTCAATGGCATTTACTTAATTAGATTATCTTACTATATGTATAACCGTATGTTTTTGTATGTCCTATGTGTGTATATGTATTTGTTTCATTTTCTTTTTCTATTTCTCTTTCTATTCCTTTATTATCCTTTTTTTTCGTCTTCGTGTGCGTACGCTCGTTCTGAACACACTCACGACTCTCTCTGCCATCATCTAATTAAGTCTAATTATGCCCATACCAAAGTATCACGCCTTAACCATTAACATAATTAATATATTACATTATGTAAGTTCTTTATCCGCGATTAAGAGGCGGTTAAATTAATTAAAACCGGGAAATATCGCTAAACGTAATTTCAATGTTTACTTTATGGATATCGCGATCACATTATTCGCGTATTCTTTCTCCTTTATTTTTTTTTTTTTTTATATTCCTTTTTTTCCATTTCTTTTATATGTTTTATTTATCTTTTTGTCTGTTTCTTTTTATTTCTTTTCCCTTCCTTTCCCTTTTTCTCATTTTATTTCGTACGAATGCCAACGAACCACTCTTCTCTTAAAACCACACACCGTCAGTCTTGTTGCGTTTTGTAAGTGTACATAGAAAAGTGGATCGCCGTGTGTTCTTGCACTTTCTAGCAGATTCTTAACTTTACTATCTGTGTGATATATATGTTTTATATATGTATATATATGTGTGTGTGTATATATATACATATAAAACTTGGGATTAAACGACTAAAGAACAGTCAGAGGCACATTGAAGCCCCATGTGAACTTGAAAATAACACCGATCGTTCGCAATTAATCGCCCCTTTATATACTCTGTGAACGCGTATGTATGTATGTTGTGTATGTATGTATGTATGTATGTATGTATGTAATAATGTATGTATGTATGTGTATGTATGTATGTATGTATGTATGTGTATTCATATATATGGCGTACGTAATCTGGCCCGTAGCTCGAAACTTCTTAAACGACTCGACCGATTTGAATGGATCTAATCAAATACTATATTTTTTTTCCTCTCTTTCTTTTTTTTTTTGTCTTCTTTTGTACATAGTGAACATAAGTATTAGGAACGGTTCGAGTTAACGATCGAGTCGTTTTGGATTCTGCTCGCCGGTCCGGACTCGAAACGTTGATGAGACATGGACCAATCAAGCTGATCTCAAACGATTTAACAATTTTTATTTTATCGTTAATATGTATACACACAAAGCCATACGCACGTACGATGTGACGACGACGAAAACGACGACGGCGACGGCGACGACGACGATGACGACGACGACGACGACGACGACGATGATGATGATGATGACGACGGACGACACAACTTGACGGTCCACATCGCACACGTAGATTATATACACAATCGCTGCGTGACGTGATCTTTTCTTTCTTTCTTTCTTACTTTCTTTTTTTTTCTTTCTCTCTCTTGCATTATATAGAAATTATGCACACAAAAGTACGTACACGTTTGTAGAGGACCGGAGTTATTATTAATTAATAATTAATAATTAAGTGCAAGCTGTTACGACTTTGTCCTGCTGTGCCCGTCGCATCACTCTTTCTTTTCTTTTTTTTTTCCTTTTTCTTTCTTTTCTCATTCTCTTCAGTTTCTTTTCTTTTTAATCGTTCTTTTTTTGTTTTATTTTGTTTTGTTTTCTTTTTTTTTTTTTTTTTTTTTTTTTGTATATATACAAAAGGTACCGTGCAACAAACGTTTACTTCGTATACTCGAAAAGGTATTTCTATGGACGTTACTATAATTTACTATAAATGGATGCGTCGATATAAACAAAATAAGCATTTTCATTTTTTAACAATTATCTCCCATATCTACAGATCTATTCGAATTGGCAAAGGTAATTATTAATTTTTTAAGGACGCATCATTGTTAAAGGGAAATAAACTAGCAAAGAATAAAAGGCTATGCCTTTAATTATATTAATTTTCAGATCTTACAGAATAGATGCAAATCAAATGAAATTTTGAAAATATTCATCATCCTGACTGATAGACGACACAGCAGGATCGTTAAAATCGTTTTATTATTTTAATTACCAGGAAATTCGGAGATACCATAGGATATGCTGTAGGAATTTGTTTGCATGCACTATTATATCCCAACAGGAAGGAAGACACGTGACAATGTGCGAGGATATTAATAAGGTTTCCGTCAATCCGAACTCCATGCAAAATTACTCTCTTGAAATCTCAGCAATTTATCAGGCAGCTCCAGTTTCGACCTCTTCACTGAAGCGGATACTCTTGATGCTAAGAATTCATTAACATAGAATTTTTAATAAGCAGACAATCAAAAATTAAGCGTATGATGATAATAATAAATAATTTAACGTGCTCGTTAAATTTAACGAAAGGAAACTGTGCAAAAATTTATATGTGCGTGCAACTAGTATAAAGGCCGATTTGTCAAAGTTGACTTTTCTTTTTCTTTTTTTTTTTCCCCTTTTTTGTTCACTGATAACCTTTTGCTACAATTTTGATTCCATTGATGTTCCTCAATATTTTATATTTTTGATATGATATTGATTTATTAAAAAGATCATTGACGTTAAAGAACATCAATGGAATTTTGTATTTAAATCAATGCATATGCAGTTAGTGTACGAAGAATTTGGAAATTTAAGAGAGTTACCGAACGAAAACGATACTTGGAGTGTGTAAGTTTCACGATTAATAATAATACATGCGTGCAACAGTGCTAAAAACAATAGGAAGGTTTTGGCTATACCTGATTAGAAAGAACACCTATATACGTGTGTTTTTCTCTCGGACAAAGAAGTTAACATTTAAAGGCACTCGTAAAAAATAATTTAATAATAATTAATTCTTTGATTACGGCAGAGGTGAGTCTCTTAATCACTCGAGCAGCCACTTAAAAAGTCCACATGATCATGGGACATCTTTAAAAGGTACGGTCTGTGTATGTGTATGTATATATATATATATATATAAATATATATATATATATGTGTGATGCGGACTGGTGGGCCTTGGCGACGTATCTGTTTTCTTTTTTTTTTTTGTTTTTTTTTCTGTTTTTATGTTTTTTTTTCCTTTTTTTTTTTTTTTTTTTTTTTTTTAATGGTTGTACTAACACCATGCACAACAGTCAAACTCGTTAAAATCTCACTTAAACGCACTTTGTTAATAACTTATCTTGACCTTCCCGCACCGTGGAGGGAAGAACTTTAGTTAAATGCATTTGCAAGTCCAAGAACTCAGTTATAAATGCTTTCCATAGGAAAAACATTGTTCGCTACACTAATCTTTGTTCACGGATGTTCTATATGGGACAAATATGCAATAGTCCAAAGAACACAGCCCACATTAGAACGATCCAATGCACGGTGTAAATTGGATTCTCACCATCTGTGATCTTTCTGGCAACGAACTTCAGGGTTTCGTCTAGAAGTACCACTGGAATGGAAAACTTCATAACGGTAACCCATTCTTCACCCGTTAAGGGAGTCACTTGGAATACGGACTGAAATAAACGCAACAACGTAATTAACACGATATAATAGTGATCGATAAATCGGTTAATTATTTATATCATAAATTATTATTACCGAAAGGACGTCGACGTAAAGAATGACAAAGTGGAGTGTGAAGGAAAGAGCCATGGAGGCGATGAGCCACATGTTGGACCAAGGCGGCATCGTGATGAGTGATTGATTCTCCGATAAGCTAAGATATTCCCAGAAGAAATTCGTATTTCACGTAATATGTTGAAACTTTATTAAGATAAAGATAAATATAATAAAGAATTTACCTATTCATAGCGTTCAACATTTCAATGGTTACTAGTACCGATAGAGCCATGGTCATTGGATGAGGATCGGAAAAGATCTTGCAGTTAATGCCTTTGAACTCGTCCCCACCACCAATGCATGCCAAGTGATGAGTCTAAATTTAATTTGAACAAATAATTTTTTGTCAAAACACGTAGAACGTTAAAACGTTGACGCTATTTAACGTTCCTATTTACCAATTGATAATAATTCATTTGTGGTCCATGCGGACTATACAAGAACCACCACGCGGCCGATCCTACAGTAGCAGCACCTACGTATCCACCAATGGCCAAGTATCGGAAAAATAGCCAACCAGAAATAAGAGATTCATCGGCTTTGCGGGGAGGCTAAATTTACACGAATTATATTAATTAATCAAATATATAATTGTTAATTGTTATTTAACTATGTCTTTTCGTCGTCATTATTTTACCTTATCCATGATATCCAAATCGGGTGGATTAAAACCAAGGGCAGTAGCTGGAAGACCATCAGTGACCAAGTTAACCCAGAGAAGTTGAACCGGGATTAAAGCTTCAGGAAGACCAAGAGCGGCCGTCAAGAATATACTGGGAATTAGACATTTTTTACATATTTAAGAAAAATATCTTTACTTGAACGATTGTTTATTAGGAATAAATTTACCTTACGACTTCACCGATATTAGAAGAGATGAGATAACGAATGAATTGTTTCATGTTATTGTAAATGGCACGACCTTCTTCAACGGCAGCAACGATAGATGAGAAATTGTCATCAGCCAATACCATCTCAGAAGCTGACTTTGCTACAGCCGTTCCAGAACCCATAGCAATACCAATTTCAGCTTTCTTTAAAGCAGGAGCGTCGTTCACACCATCACCGGTCTATAAAAGATATAATACGTAATAGATATTACTAAAATATTCGTTATTAATTTTGAAAAAGGATTTATAAGAATCTAAAGTTCTTACCATAGCTGAGATCTCGTTCATGCTTTGCAAATACTCAACGATCTTCGATTTGTGAGCTGGTTCTACGCGGGAGAATAATCTGGCCCTTGAACATGCTGCTTTCTGTTCGGATGGTGATAAATCGTCGAATTCACGTCCAGAGTATGATTTTCCTGTGGTGTCCTCCTCTTCGGTGAAAACGCCAATTCGTCGGCAAATGGCTTCCGCGGTGGCTTTGTTATCACCAGTGATAACGATAACACGGATACCAGCAGCACGACACCTAACAATGGAGTCGAATACTTCCTTACGTGGTGGATCCAACATACCAACTACACCAATGAACGTGAGTTCCTTCTCGTAAGTATAGAACTTTGTGGAGTCGCCTAAATCCATGTCATCGGGTTTCATCGGATGATCAGCGGTAGCCAAAGCAAGACAACGCAAGGTATCTCGTCCGGTTCCATATTGTCTCGTCAGATCCAAAATACGATTTTTCAAAGTCGAAGTAAGAGGAACCTTTTGTGTACCAACGCGTGCATGCGTGCATCTATCCAATACTCCTTCGGGTGCACCCTTAACAAAAAGTTTTGGTCCAGTTCCAAGTTTACTAGGCTTCAATGGTACACAATACGAGGACATGGATTTGCGATCGCGAGAGAATTCCAAGGTGAATTCCTTCTTCCATTTCGTTTCGATGTCTTGCCTGACGGCTATGGCCGCATTACGACGATCGAGTCCACCCTTCGATACACCAAAAGGATTGACCTTTTCTGCCAAAACAATCAATGCGGTTTCGGTAGCCTCCCCAACTTTCTCAAAAGCTTGCTTGAACTCGTTAAAGTCAATGGCCGAGTCGTTACACATGATACAGATTGTACCAATCTCGTGAAGTGTCTCGTAATCCTGCCCTTTGATCTTTTGTCCTCTAAGGAAGATTTCACCGATGGGTTCGTAAGTCGATCCTGTAATCTCGAACTCGTGGAACGAGCTATCATTGCCCTCGATCTTATCGAAAATGAACATTCTAAAAGGATAATTAATTGCGCAATTAATCGATCAATTAAATTCATTTGAAAATCTTTTGGAAAAATTTGAAGAAGTATATATTACCGGCTAACAGACATCTGATTGGTAGTCAATGTTCCAGTCTTGTCAGAGCAAATAACAGAAGTACAACCGAGAGTTTCGACAGAAGGCAAGGAACGTACAATGGCATTCTTCTTAGCCATACGCCTAGTACCCAAAGCTAAACAAGTCGTAATAACAGCCGGTAAACCTTCAGGAATGGCAGCGACAGCCAGAGCGACGGCGATCTTGAAATAGTAAATGGCACCCTTGATCCATGATCCACCGTGAGCAGGATCGTTAAAGTGACCGATGTTGATAGCCCATACAGCAACGCAGATTACGGAAATGACTTTTGACAATTGTTCACCAAACTCATCGAGTTTTTGTTGAAGGGGTGTCTTTATTTCCTCAGTCTCAGACATTTCAGTACGAATTTTACCAATAGCAGTATTTAAACCGGTTCCAATAACAACGCCACGTGCTTTACCAGCAGCTACATTGGTACCAGAGAATAAAATATTTTTCTTGTCCTAATAGAAAGACAAAGAATATCGTGATGTTATAAAAATTCTTTATAAGTTTAATTGTAAACTGGAGAATAGAAAAAAAAAAAAAGAAGTGTCTCGTTCGAACGAACCTGATTGACGGCACGTGGATCGGGAACAGGATCCGTATGCTTGATAACAGATACAGATTCACCAGTCAGGATGGATTGATCGATCCTGAGGGTGGTCGAGAAAATTTTGCTAAGACGAATATCAGCTGGAATCTTATCACCGACGGACACCTCAACGATGTCTCCGGGAACGATCTCTTTCGCTCGAATCCTTTGTACGCCAGCCTTGTCACCCCGAACGACCTTACCCATTTCGGGTTCATACTCCTTCAATGCTTCGATTGCCGATTCGGCGTTACGCTCTTGCCAAACACCGACCACGGCATTGGCGATAAGAATGAGCAAAATGACGAAGGGCTCGACGAAGGCCGTGAACGCATCCTCGTGCTCCTCAAATAAAGCTAGTACCTAATCGAGATATATATGATTGCTATATAGAGTAAACTTCCTCCATGGACTCGCATATGAAAATAACGAAGTTTCATGGCTACGTAAAATCGATGATGTATATTTTTAAATTCACCGATACTAGATATATTTATAGAAATCTCTACTAACGAAGTTATCGTAAATGTATGTGCTGCAACCTGATAAACGAACCTCACGTATATATATATATAAATATATATATATATGTATACATATATACGTACATACGATCGTCGTAATGCATAATTAAAAGTCTATCTCTCTTTCTTTCGATTCTCTATTATCTGCTTAATTTAAACGAATTATTTAATTTAAATATACATATAGAAGATTAATAAATACTTATGATACTAAATAACATTTAAACTGTTAATAATTACGACGATCGGTGGTTCATTACTTTTTTTCTTTTTTTCTTTTTTTACTAATAAATGCATCTCTTTTAAATATCCAATGACTATGACTATTTAAGGTCGATTCACACGTTTATCCATTTCTATTTTCATTTCAATTCCTATTTTTCTATCATAGAGATTTCTAACATTACTCCATATAATATAAATCTGAGCGTTAGAACATTCTCGTTCAACCACATTTCAATCTTTATCCCGATTCCTCTCATAGACTTGATTTCATCGTCTCTGATAGAAATTGCGATAATAAAAACTAATAATACTTAAGAACTTAAATTATTTATTAATTAAACGTGCGCGAATCGACCATTAACAATTTTTTATACTCATTCTTTCCAACTGTGTAATGTATACGTACAAAAGATATAATAGCGGCTAATAATAGAATCTTAACTAGGAGGTCGTCGAATTGTTCCAATACGAGTTGCCAGATGGATTTACCTGAAAATTTCAAAGATAACAAATTTTATTCGACCAAATCATATGGAAATGATGATCGTTGAAATTTATCGTTATATTCGCGAAGATAATAGAAAGTTTTTATGGAGGAGGAAAGAGAAGGAGGAGTAGGAGGAGGAAAGAGAAGGAGAAGTAGGAGGAGAAAAGAGAAGGAGAAGTAGGAGGAGGAAAGACGAAAAGAAAAAGATAATCGATTCGATATCGAAGATCGGCATCGAAGGATAAAACGAATTAAATTATGTTTAAACCGAATTGCGAATTTGTAGATGTTATTGGTTGATTCTGTTTCATCGTATGCAATGACGATGTGTAATTACGCGTACGGAATCGAGTGGAACATGTCGCATGCATTCGCATAATGTAAGCAGAGACCTGTGTTCGACGACGACGACGACGACGACGACGACGACGACGACGACGACGACGACGACGACGACGACGACGACGACGACGACGACGACGACGACGACGATGACTACGAGTACGCTACGACGCGATATATATCCATATATATCCATATATACATATATATTCACACACACACATACGCATATATATATATACATACATACATACATACATACGTACGCATCGTATATATCTCCAGTAACACGCATCGTTGCGTATGTGTGAACGTGTATCCGTCTTTGTATACAATCAACAGACAGACAGACATATACTCGCACATACACGAAGAGAGAGAGAGAGAGAGAGAGAGAGAGAGAGAGAGAGAGAGAGAGAGAGAGAGAGAGAGAGAGAGAGAGACATATGGATTAATACATTCATTAGGTAAAGCATACGCACACGTCGTCAGCTCGTAATGCATTCGAAGCTTACGAACCTGAAGGACTGTATACAGGCGAAGGCTGTTCCAGTTCGATAACGATGCGTTCCATCACCCACATGTGTCTCGAAATTCATCTCCCATTCCTCCCTTAACCACCCCCTTGACAGACGTTTTCAACCACGTGCAGCAACTCAAGTGCAATATTAACTCGACGTATCAAGGAAGAGAGGTATAGGTAGAGAGAGACTGGATCTCTTTGATCTTTACGAATTCATTGACCTTGACTTTTCCATCTCGATAAACTTTTTTTCTTTGTTTGCTTGTTTGTTTGTTTATTTCCAATATCACGTGAAAATAAACCATAATGTTTCATCAATGTACTATATTTCTTACTCGTCGATATTATACACCCGTATATAATACGTATGATCATAATTATGATTATTTATACTTTTGTTATACCAAACAGAGACACGTTAAACATGTGGAAAAAACATTATGATGATGTAATGACTATCGATTCAGCGAATGCATATGTATCATGTCTCATTATTTTTTCCCTCGGATCTATGATCTATATTATTATACATGCATACATACATATACGTACATAATACGTACAAAATAAATAAGTATATATATATATATATATATATATATATATATATATATATGTATGTATATAGATTTTTATAGATATGATATAAAATTATATTATAAATCGCCAATAACATTTCTTCGATAAATTAGAATTAAGATATAAAAGTAAATGATCGATATCATTAATCAAGACAAATCCATTGACCTTGCCCGTTTGTGTCAATAATAAATTCGACAAATTTGTTCTCTCTATCTTCGAACGTTTAAATGAAATCGATAAGAATGCGAATAATCATGAAGCCTCTATTTCGCGCTTGTCGTAACTTCGATTCTCGAAAGAGAACCTACGACTGCCTGGATCCGGCATTATAACGAGTTTCCTCGTGTATCGCGTGCGTCATAATTGACCAACGACAGAATATCAACTTCGGCGACGTCAGTAAATTGCGTCAGAGTAGGATCGACGATGTTTCTTTTTCTTTTTATCCTTTTCCCTCTACTCGTATACTGTGTGTAAACGAAGAAGATTCTCTCTCTTTCTTTCTCTCTCTCTCTCTCTCTCTCTCTCTCTCTCTCTCTCTCTCTCTCTCTTTCTTTCTCTTTTTCTTGAAGAGAGACACGATCGTTCAGATCAGTTTCAGAGTTTTTAACAACTCGCGTGTCACCAGTTAAAACATTTATACGTCGTATACGTTTTCTCACTAGCATGATTTTCCAACGTAATATTACGAATATCTTCTTCATGAAATGATAAATCGATCTGTTTTTTTTTCTTTTTTTCCTTCTTTTTCTATCACTTCTCCTCCTTTCCCACTTCCTACCACAATGAGATACTTGAGACGAAAAATCTAATCGCTTACCACGAATTTCTTATCCGTTCATTTTGTTAAACACGAAGAAAAACAAGTATCTCTTTTGGTTAATCGCAAAAATGTATTCTCAAATATACGAGAACATTATCTTTTTCTTTGAGATATTTTTTCTTTCCCCTCACTCCCTCCTATTCCCCGCCCCCTCTCCCCCACCCCACCCTCTATCCCACACCCTTTAAATATTTAATTTATCATAAAAGCGAATCATCAATTTTCAAATAATTATTAATAAGGTATTATCCACGATGCCGATTCGATATAAATTAAATCTTAACCTTTTATTAATATTTTCGCTCTAATGGAAAAAAATATGTAAGGGGACTTACCCTCCTCGGCTGGCAATTCTGAAACAGAAATAAAATATTTATTTAGTGAGTCGTTTTAAAACGTTAAAGGAGTTTGAGTTAATTAAACGAGCAACGTCAGTTTCTGTTTACGCAATCAGATATCACTAACATCAACGAAGTTGAGAAAATCTAAAACGTCCCCTTTAAGATGGCCCACTTGCCGCAGGAGATTGCCCAGGAGCCGAGCAAGAGAATCCCGCGAATGGTGTAAATTTTTTGCAGCACGGAAATATACGAAGAAAGGGATTCAAAAACGTTTCGTATTTGACGCCGTTGAGAAAACTCGCGAAGAAAAGAGAAAAAGAAATAAAAAAGAGAGAGAGAGAGAGAGAGAGAAAAGAGAAAGGAAAGGAAAAGAAAATTACTATGTGGTTGTACCAGCCATCTCATAAATTAGGAACGCGAGTGTCACATTTCGTAATTTTGTTGTGATAAATGTTTTCTTTTTCTTTTTCCTTCTTTTTTCTTTTTTATTTATTTTCTTTCTTTTTTTTTTTCTTTCTTTCTTTCTTTCTTTCTTTTTTTCTTTTTTTTTTCTCTTCGTATCCTCGCTCGAAAATATCGAAAAAACAAACAACTTATATTCGTCCGATGGACGATAACTGAGAGAATTAATATAATCGATCTATTAGGAAAATTTCTATGTTTAAACACCTCAAGGACAAGTTAGCTCACATTTATCGCCTCACGGAATAATCTTTTATTTGTCAAGAACATGGAAATACTTGTTAAAATTTGTGAAACATTTATTTCTTACCACAATACGTATACGTATCTCGTCGCTCCTGATCTTGACGTCAAAATATTTCAAATAAAAAGTAAACCAAACCTACGTTCTTCTACGTGTATATATATATATATATATATATATATATATATATATATATACATACACACACGTCAGTATATCTTCGAAGAGATAAAAATATAGAAAATTTAAGATTCAATTCGAAGCTACAAAAATACACTAATATTAGATAAATCCAGTAACCGTTCTGTTTTTTTAACCTAAGACGAATAATATTTCGAAAGAGCATAGAGAATAGATAGAAAAAAAAAGGGAGAGAAAGAAAAAGAGAGAGAAATATAATAAATAAATTCAATATACGTAAAGACACATATTTCATGAAGTACAACGATCATCGATACGTTAGAAAAATGTATGTCTAACAATGTACATAAGGTATGATTATATTCTTTTATAACGCATACACGTTTACGAAGAGAAACACATATAAACACATAATACAAACACTTATACACATGGAAAGGACATAGGTTTTCCTTGAATGGTCGAGGATTGACGTGCACGATCGAGCACGTGTTTATAACGCGCATTGTTAGTTACTTTAGAACGCTCTACCTTAGAGGAAAATATGTCTAACGCTTTTCCCTCGGCTTATTAAGCCCGAAGGATAACGAGATTAATGGAACGCGTCGGTAAAGGAAGAAGAAAGAGAAAGAATCGCTTTATCGATATTCCTTTTATACATTGGTATGTACGTACATATATACATAGGTGCATCATAAACGTTAGTAATAAATACAAACTCGCAAATATACGGGAAACATTTATTTCGTAACGAAAAATTCCATTTCGTTTCGGTGAACGATCGTAAAATATATATACACACGCGTACAGCATACATACACGTAAAAAAGAAAAAAGAAAAAAGAAAAAAAAAAAAAAAAAAAAAAAAAAAAAAGAAAGAAAGAAAAAACAGTCAAAGCGATCATCCAGAAAGAGATAGAGAGATAGAGAGAAAGAGAGAAAGAAAGAGAGATACGAAGGTAATAATGACAATATTAACCGTAGATATTTTTATCGGCTACCCTACCAACGTTTCTTTACTTCTATAGCGCCTTCTATCTACGTGGGCAGATTATAAAAACTTCATAGCCGTCTTATATACACACTCGCGCGCGAACACACACCATCACATATGCATACGTGTATATATGTAAGTTTATACGTCCTTCATTCCTAACAACAAGAAATATCTATTAATCTTATAAAGAAATCTTATTGTTCAAATCCACATGTTACAACTGTTCTCACAACTAATAGACAATAACTTGTTTAAGAATGAATTTGAAGTATTTTATAACGTAATAAAAAAAAAAAAAGAAAGAGAGAGAGGAAAAAAGAGGAGAAAAAAGGGAAAAAAATGCGAGAGAGAGAGAGAGAGAGAGAGAGAGAGAGAGAAAGAGAGAGTCAGGAAACAGAAAAACAAATCAACACTGTCGTCGTAGCTGATTTGTTCAAACTTTTTGATTCTCCTCCTAGTCGATATCCACAGAGAACGAACGATATCCGGTCATGGATAAACGATAGTTATTCGATTATTCGAATCTGACAAATCCTGCAAATCCGATCAAGTTTCCTATATATACATATCCATATATATACATATAAATATATAATATTATATGAATATATGTATTATATATATATATATATGTATTTGAATAGAAGCACAAAAGTTAACAGTGTTACGGAAAGCTTCGATCGGTATTCACGTACACAGCAATAATATACAACACGCTTTATTATACGGAAATAGTTTATATATGACTCTGTATATGTGTATATTACGTGGGTAGAAAAGTGTGAGCTTTCTCATGAGCAAAAAACACACTCAAGAATTTTCCTACTCATATACGATATCAGCCATAGTACGACGAGTCATCGTATAGTATGTACGTTCTTATTCATTATGAGTTTGCGTGTTGTTGTTTTAACAACCTCAAAGACTCTTCTACTTTCTTACTTTTTCTTTTTCATTTATATTTTAAAAGAAACTTACGATGACAACCTTTCCATGCTCGATTCTTACTTTTTCCCAATAAGTACTTATTTATTATTTTCCATTCTCTTTGTATATATATATTATATATAAAATTTCCTTCAACAATTTCCAAATCAATTCAATCAACACAACAAAGCTTTTTAGAAGCTTGTCTATTTTTTTTTCTTTTTCTTTTTTTTTTTTCTTTTCTTTTCTTTTCTTTTCTTTTGAAGTATTAAAAGCCTAAGGCTTCGATCGTCTCGTGTTTGTAACTCCAACGACGTGGAGAACATTGACTTTTTCTTTTCTTTTACTTCGAAACTTATACACGTAAAGAAAAATTCATTTCGATTTAAAAATCGAATATATCGGTAATCTCGATAAGGATGTAATGACGAAATAAAAAAAAATAAAAAAAATAAAAATAAAAGAAAAAAAAAGAAAAAGAAATATTAATCGAACTAAATTATGGGATTAGATTTAATTAGAAAAAAAAAATAAAAAAATAAAAAAATAAACGTACAAACAAAAGGAAATAAATAAATAAATAAATGAATGAATAAATGAATGAAGGAAGGAAGGAAGCAAGGAAGGAAGGAAGGAAAAAATGGAGGAAAATCATTAAGCAAACGGCGCTGCACCTTGCAATCTTAAAGAGCGACCTTAAATCGAGTTAACCTCGTTCAGCGCGTTAACTCTTAACGCAATTCCAGCATCCATGCGTTGCTAAGATTGATTAGTACATACATACGTATATACATATGTATGCGTATCGCCTGCTTCTATATTAGATTCGTATATAACGCCAATGTGAACTATTGTATTATAACGGGACGAATACAAGTATGTGTGTGCATATTATATATATATATATATATATATATATATATGTGCACGTTCGATGAGTTAATTGGTTTAGAGTTGTGTGGAAATCCTTGGACGGAAGTAACTTGGATCATTTAAAAAATTGTCGAGCGAGCATTTCTTCGCCGTTTATAAATTTGAAAACTTAAACGATCTGTTATACTCACAAAGACGATAATAAAAATTTATCTAAATTATAAATATTTTTATTTCTTTTTAATTTTCGAACGAATACACCACAAGTAATTTAATTACTGTATACTTTTTATGTGTGTATGTGTATTCGATAAGACTAAGAAGTTGATTTTATTTCGATCGTTTTTTTTTCTTTTTTTTTTAAATATCTCGAAAGAAAAAAGAATTTTTTTTTTTTTTTTTTTTTTTTTTTTTTTTTTTTTTTTTTTTTTTTTTTTTAAATAATAAAATACCATTTACAAAGAAAAATAAAACACAATAAATTGGAATTCTACAAATGGAAAAATTGGAATTGTCTTTGTTGTATGTGAGTTCTTTTTTTTTTTTTTTTTTTTATGTATCTTTCATTTTTTCGAAATACTTAACATTTTGAAATCGAAAATTGTCTCGAACTGAGATTAATCGTGAAAGTTCATAGCAATTGACCTAATTGGCAGTATAAATTTGTGATCAATCCATCCAGCCCATTTAGATGATAGATTGAATACATTCACATATGTATAGACATACATTTATATACATATTACATATCATTCACAAACAAACACACACAATGATTCGAAAGGATTATTGCATATCTCAAGTAATTTTAAAAATAATTGTCTGTTATTCTTTTCAATATATCGAGAGCATAAGGAACTCAATGTGATCGTCTTAACAAGCGGAAGAGGACATTGGACTTTAATCGTCGAAATAGAAAACGATCGGAACAAATGCCATTGGCTGGTTTACTGTGGCAAAGGTCGCATGCACAGCGACGGTCTTCTTCCTACAGAACATTCTCTTTCTCTCTTTCTCTCTCTCTCTCTCTCTATCACTCCCTCTTTCCCTCTCTTTCTATCTTTCTATGTCTCAAAACAACACTCCAATTGTAAGAGCAATGAGCCCGTGAATGAGGAGAAAGGAAAGAAGAGAAAAGGTATAGTGGATTGATTAGTCAGTGAAAGACATGTCTAAAGAGTTGTCTAATGCCAAGGTAGAGAATTAATCTGAATTGATTAGCGATACAAATTCGTGTAATTAATTAGAAAGAAAAAGTAGAAAAAAAAATATGAGATAATTTCTGTTTTTTTTTTATTCTTTTATTTTTTTTAAGAAAAAGTAAATAAATAAATAAATAAATGATGCATATTTCAATGCAAAATTATA